GAAAATATTAGTCAAAAAGAAAGGAATTCAAATGGAAGATCTGAATCATAACAAAGATTAGAAGACTGAGCATATATCCAAAGTTTATGACGTCGTTGCACATCCTTCGCTTGCGCAGTGAAATGTGCAAGACACAGAGTCACAGATCTCTCATTCACAGGTGGAAATGTTACTGGTGTAGCGTTTGCATTCAAAGAAACGTGCATCAGTGCTATAGTATTTTGGATGGTTCATTCTGATCACATACTGGAATTCCTTAATCCTCACTTTCAGGGACGTAATAACGTTTCTAATATCACTTTTATAAGAGAAATAAAAGTCAAATTCCTTATGTTGGAAAGGCTTTCTTTAATTTTGGCACTAAATCAAGCCAGACAGAAAATGAAAATAACTGAAGACACGTAAATGTCTAAAATAGTACTGTCGAAAAACCTACTCGAATTCGTCGTCCCTGGCACAGGAGCTGCACGTCGAAGCGCCGCCGTCCACAGTATTCGTGACGTTAATAAGAAATATCGTAGCCTCGTCAAGCGCGATATCCTCCATTCTGTAAAACTGACTGTCTGTCAGCTGACTTCTGATAAACACCCATTCAAATACGGTGGCTGAACTTCTAAGTACCGGAAAACTGAAACATGCAACATCATTTACAAAGCAACGAAGTCAGAGAAGTAGAAGTACTTGTAAGAGCGGCGAGAAACCGTCCCGTTCCATTCCGCCAAGATAATCGGTCGAGATACAGATCTGGGGCGCTAAAAGCACTTCAGTGTACAACTGCGCGGATCAGATGGAGTATGCAAAGGTAGTAAGCTGAATATATCATTCAATGCAAATAATGGACCGGAATGAAAAATTACTCCAAATGGTTCAAAGTTCAATTTAAACTTGCATACGATATGTTGAAAGCTCGTTTTTAGCTTTAAAAAATTAGCTTGCATTTTAAAACTTTCATAAACATACATAAACAGAAAGAAACAATTTCGAAAGCAGCTTACCTCTAGGAAGTAGAAACCGCAGTCGCCGACGCATGATGTTTGAAAAACGAACGTCACCCAACCGATGGGCCGATTGACAGTAAACGACGTGGCCAAAAATGGATTCCGAAAACCTTTGACTTGCAACGACAAAACGAGGTAGACGCTAGCACGCCTGCCGTGAGCGGTTTTCACGGCGTTGCCCACCGGAAGCCAGCTGTCACTACTGTCGCAGTCGAGAGCCCCTAAGCGAAAAGTCAACGGTTATAAGTAAAATAATGATCAAGCACACTGCGGAATGAGTACCTTCGATGGACCGACAGTATGCCTTCATGTTACTGGGCAATTGGTTCCACCACTGGTATTGGTACGAGTACTCAGGTGCCGTATGCAGTGGACACTTGATACATCCTGAAATGGAGCGGTCGTTCATCAACAGTAAAACTAAGGGAAAGTCCTATAAGGTCGTTACCATTTATGC